GACCGTTGATCTTCGTAATCGAGGGGTGAAAAATGAATAATCCAGGGTAGTGGGATCTGACCCTATGGCTGTTGACTGACAGATCATCAGTTCGAGTCCTGATCGCAAAGGTGTACCTTTTGCGTTTATTCGCAGATCATCAGTTCCATGATTTCAATTCTGAGGGATGCACTAATCAGGACACAATACCGTTCAACGCTCACCCCCATTTCATAATCGAGTCCAAAATCTTATCACAATGTCAAAACAAGACAGGAAAACAAACAAACCCTGTATATAGACGGCATTAGAGCCAAAGGGGGAAAAGGCATCAAAGCAATTATCAGACCAACCCATCTGGGCATCATCATATCTATACATTCCATTCCCGCCTTATTCCTGTCCCCCCTGCTTCCGGTCCCGCATTAGCACGACACGGGTGGGTCATTAAAGCGCAGTAGGAAATACCCCATCTCCATCATCCATTGCATTTTCCTGCCCTATGGTTCCCTTAGATTAGAGCGAAAAAAAAAAAAAAAAAAAAAAAAAAGTGCTGAAAAAGAGAGACCTGAATTCAAACTCCTCTCTGAGAGCAGATGACTAAAAAATACGATAATTCTGAACTACCTACCCTTCTTCGCTCGAATACAACGTACGGTCATTATTGCTGAACTTGGACGGAAAGATAGCCCAAATACAGACATAATGACAGTGCGTTGTATTCGGGTTAAGAAAGGTAGGGCCAGTCAGCTCGATAATGATATGTCAAGGCCGTTTCCCTCTTTTTGAAAGAAGAGGGAAAAAAAAGAAAGAGCAAAATCTTTCCAAAACAGGCAAGTGGATAAGGCAGACGACCACAGCGTAAACCAACAACAACAGGGGAGAGGGCGCTCGGCAAGTTGACGTCAACCATTATTGCCATTTTAGGATGACGCAGATGTGGGTTGTGCCTCTCCCCTGTTTCCTAAACACGCTCATGCTGCTGCTCCCCCCCCCTGCCTGTTTCCTCTCTCTCTCTCCTCCCCTGCCTGTTTTCCTCTCTCTCTCCTCCCCTCCCTTGCCTGTTTTCCTCTCTCTCTCCTCCCCTCACTTGCCTGTTTTCCTCTCTCTCTCCTCCCCTCCCTTGCCTGTTTTCCTCTCTCTCTCCTCCCCTCCCTTGC